CCCTGTTCCACGGGAAGCCTGCTTCTCCCTCTCCCACTCCCCCCTGCTTGTGTTCTCTCTCTCGCTGTCTCTCTCTCTCCGTCAAATAAATAAAATCTTTAAAAAAAAAAAAAAAGAAACGTGGTGGTAGATAATCGTGTGTGTTTGTGTGTGTGTATAATGTAAGCTCTCATAGCAGTTGTGAATTTGAACATACTCATGATCCTGTAGGCTTTGATCTTTAATCCAACTGCATTTGCAAAATACAATGATTTGATTGTTCTCATTCCCTCCTCCTCGAAAAACTTCCTTTACTTTGGTTTTAGGAGTCTGTATTCTCCTGGATTTTCTCCTTCATTGTGCACTCCTCCTTTGTTCACTTTTCTTATTTTCCCAACTGCTAAACTGGCACAAAGGACCACTTCTTGGACCTCATATTTATATTCATTGTCTTATGGCTTTAACTGTTTTTTATTTGCTGGTGGCTTCCAGATTTTTATCTCAGATTTTCTTTCCGAGACCTCATACATACTGTTATCTTATAATTGGATATCCAATAAGCAACTAGAATGTAGCTCTAAAACTGTGTTCTTGCTCTTCCTCCAAACCTACTTCTCTTTTAGTCTTTCAGATCTTAGATAATGGCTCCTTCTTATTTTCTAGTCAAAGCCCTTGAAGATATCTTTTCTCTTATACCCCGGATCCAATTTGTCAGCAAATCCGATTCAGTACACTTTCAGAATTATTCCATAACCCAACCCTCCTCTCTTTGTGGGATTGTAGCAGTATCTCTGCTTCCACCCTTGCCTCCCTGTAATCTGTTAACATAGCAGCATTATGATCTTACTAAAATAAAGTAGATCATGTCACTTGTCTGCTCAGAGCCCTCTGGTACTTCTGTCACTTCTGATCTCACTTTGAAAAAGCCTGGGTCCTTCAAATGACTTACTAGACAAGATTTGTGTACCCCCTAATCCCAGGCATTCTTTCTTTGATCTCATATTTTACTACTCACCCTTTTACCTTGCTCCAGCAACTCTGAGTTCCCTGGAAACACCAAATTCATGTTCTTGACTCAAGATCTTTCTCTACTTGCTATTCCTTCTTACTAGAATATTCTTTTTCCCTGGATAGCCTCATAACTTGTTTTTTCCTTCAGGTCTTTAACTGACTGTCATTATCTGAATAGGCCTTTCCTGGCCACTCTTTAAAAATGCAGCCCTCAGGGGTGCCTGGGTGCTCAGTTGGTTAAGTGTCCAACTCCTGGTTTCAGCTCAGGTCATGATCTCAGGGTTGTGAGATCGAGTCCTGTGTCAGGCTCCATGCTCAGCAGGGAGCCTGCTTGAGATTCTCTCTCTCCCTCTCCCTCTCCCTCTGCTCCTCCTCCCACCCCTTTACTCACTCTCTCTCTCTCTAAAAATGAATAAATCTTTAAAAATGCAGCCCTCTTTGTATATACATACAACCCCCTACTCTCTCCCTCCCTCCCCCCTCCCTTTTCCCTGCTTTATTTCACTCCATAGCACTTACTGTCACCCAATTATCATGTATATTTTACTTTTTTATCTACTACTCCTGTAAGGACAGTAATTTTTATGTTTGTTTATTGCTATATCCTTGACGACTAGAATAGTGCATGGCACACACAGTATATGCTTAGTAAATAGAAGTTGAATGCTCAGAATTTATAGAAAGAAAGTGAAATGGATATACATATATATTTGATTTTATATAGTTTATATTTTTAGAAATTATTTTAGGCTTTGGAAAAAGAATTTTAATAATCTGGTCAGTAGAATTCCTTTTTACAATTGCTTGCCAATCTTTACTTGAGACAAGCAGCCTGAGTACAAAGGTCATGCTGCTGCCATAGCTCCTGATCATCATGGGCTGCTCCTTCATGTATCGCCTCCTTTGTAATCTGGGGTAATTTGACATGCAGAGAATGAATAAATAAAAATACACCATAAAGTGTAGTTGATGTGTTGGGAGATGAAGAAAAACCTGAGGTAACTTGTGTGAATTGCACAAACCGTGTATGGTGCAGGATCATTTACTCCGTAGTTGGTTGTGACAAACTGAGAAGGGAGGGAAACAGATTATCTCTTAACAGTGTTTGAGTCTTCCTTCCCTTCAACGTCATTAGTACCATACAGTCCTGCGAAAGTTTTTATCAACAAGTTTTACAGTCATAAATTTGGTATATAATTCCAGCTCTTTAATATTTAACTAAAATAGTAAGTTATATTAATAATAGTTACCAGATATTTTAAGAAATGATGAATTTTTTTCTGCTAAAGGTGGTCTTACAAGAAAAGAAAAAAGCCCTGAACAGAATTTAAGAAGTGATTATGTGGAAACTGCCAAAACCTTCTTGTAAACTAAAATACTCTAATGTGCATTTATTAATAAAGGTTAAATACGAGTGCCTGGCAGAGGAAATCAAAATAGGAGACTATTACCTGAGATTACTGTTGGAGGAAGATGAGAATGAAGAAAGTGGATCAATTAAGAGATCGTAAGCTACTCTTCATATCTTGTTATATTTGTTTTCACTATTAGTTTCATGGCTAATTCCATTGTGAACTTTTTTTAAAAAAATCTAGGTATGAATTTTTCAACGAGCTCTATCATCGTTTCCTGCTCACCCCAAAAGTAAACATGAAGTGTTTATGTTTACAAGCCCTTGCTATTGTTTATGGCAGATGTCATGAAGAAATAGGACCTTTTACAGATACAAGATATATCATTGGAATGTTAGAGAGGGTAAGAATATCATTTAAGGAAACTGCTGTTTGATAGTGTATTTGGGGTACTTATTAAATTTTCAAAACTGAATATAAATTCTGTTTGATTACATTGTTACCATAACTTTCTGCATGAGTTTTGTGTAGTTTACATTATACTTAATTAAATATAAGTTAGGTGAATAGGAAAATGACTAATGGGTTAGTATTTGTCCATGTCAGTTTATTTTTTTCAGTTGCTGCTTTTGAACAACTTTAGCGACTTATTTGCCAGTCTTTAATTTAAGTATGGATGAGCTGGACAGGTGTGTAAAAGAAATAGTGACTATTAGATTTGTGTGTACATTTGGTTTTCCACTTTGGAAAAATTTTAAATTATGCTAGCATACTAAATTTTTTTTTTTTAAGATTTTATTTATTTGAGAGAGAGAGAAATAGAGAAAGAGCATGATGAGTGGGGGGGGAGGGGCAGAGGGAGAGGGAGAAGCAGACTCCCCGCTGAGCAAGGAGCTGATGTGGGACTCGATCCCAGCACCCTGGGATCATGACCTGAGCCAAAGGCAGACGCTTAACCGACTAAGCCACTCAGGCGCCTGCTAGCATGCTGAATTTCAAAGTGTGAAGAACTACACACTTAAAAAGTTTTTAGAACTACCATGATAGCCAAAAAAGGGAACCTTGAGTTAGCACATTTTAGAAAGTTTGTCCTTTAACACTTGACCTTGGCTGGGGGAAAGAACATAGTGACCCATTCATCCATCCTGCAGCTCAAATTCGAGTGTAACCTACTTGTTGCAGTATATATACTTTGTTCTTTTGTGCTTATATTCCTCTTACATTTAACAATTTGAATTTCAGTGAACTGCCTTAGAACCATTTCACCAATTTTTAAATGGCCATCAATGCTTGTTATAATTACCTTTACTGTCAACCATACTTTGTAGATTAGAAAACTGATTCTGGATAAGGTCATAAAACATACCTAGGAAATAACATAACCAGATGAAAATCTTATTGTTTGCTGTTACATTATTAATGATACACAATAGTGTATTATTCTAATTCACTGTTATTCCAGTAAACCTGAATACTTGCAGCATAGCCTTTGTATTTTTTAGACAGATACATATTTTCCTTCTTGTTTCTGTTATCATGATGTGATTTATATGAAACATCATTAATCATTCTTTAGAATATTTACTTGAGAAGTGTCATTTGGGGTAATTCATTTGTTTGAATTTTTATATATTTATATATTAAAGTATATATTTGTATATATATAAATTATATGTTAAAGTAATTTGTTTTTGACTTTTAAAATATATGCCTTTCTAGGGAAATTAGACAAGTTATATAAAATTTCACAGAATGCAAGACATTGAGGAATTAAACAATAATTAATAGTCTTCTCTCATGTTCTTGATGTTTAAAAGGTGACTTTCTTATTGGCTGTTGCTGATTTTGTCCATTGATGATAATAACTTAATCTGTGTTTCTGTTCGCTTCTGACTAAATTCTTGTTTATTCAATAGTGCACAGATAAACTTGAACGAGACCGGTTGATCCTCTTCCTTAACAAGTTGATCCTTAATAAGGTACAGTATTTTGCTTAAGTATGCAGTTATTTGCAGATAAATCACATGAATATATAACAAAAAGATAAAATATTACAGTTTGAGCTAATTATCTGGACATGATTCTTTTCTGCTCCTTTTAGTTCAGAAATCTCTGTGTGCTATCAACTTCTGGAATGAAAATTTTTTGCCACATACTCTGTACATTCTGTCCTATTGTTACAGATACTGAATAAATTAATGATAATAAAATTCTGAATGAAGAATAATGAGGGATGAAATCAATAGCTGATTTTTCTTTAGGGACTCTTTAGGATTGGACTGGAAGTAAAATAAATGTTTGACATAAAATGGAAGGTTTGTAATTTATTCAGTGTACATTTTGATGATAAAGTAATTTGAAGACAAACTGGAGAGTCACTTTAGCTCTTCACACTTTCTTTTTTAAGACATTTTAATAGGGGGGCGCCTGGGTGGCTCAGTCGTTAAGCGTCTGCTGTCAGCTCAGGTCATGATCCCGGGGTCCTGGGATCGAGTCCCACATCGGGCTCCCACCTTGAGGGGAAGCCTGCTTCTCCCTCTCCCACTCCCGCTGCTTGTGTTCCTGCTCTCGCTGTCTCTGTCTCTGTCAAATAAATAAATAAAATCTTTTAAAAAAAAAAGACATTTTAATAGGATTGGGGCTCTTGGGTGGCTCAATTGGTTAGGTGTCTGACTTTTTTTTTCCCCAAAGATTTTATTTATTTATTTGATAGAGATAGCAAGAGAGGGAACACAGCATGGGGGAGCTGGAAAAGGAGAAGCAGGCTCCCCGCTGAGCAGGGAGCCCGATGTAGGGCTCGATCCCAGGACACTGGGATCATGACCTGAGCCGAAAGCAGACGCTTAACAACTGAGCCACCCAGGTGCCCCTAAACATCTGACTCTTACTTTCAGGTCAAGTCTTGATCTTAGGGTGGTGAGAATGAGCCCTGCGTCGGGCTCTGCACTCAGCATGGAGTCTACTTGGGATTCTCTCTCCCTCTCCTCTGCCCCTCTCACTTGTCCTCTCTCTCTCTCTCAAATAAAAAAAAAATTTTTTAAGGAAAAATTCATTTCTCTTTTTTTTTTTAAGATTTATTTGAGAGAGAGAGTTCAAGCAGTGGGGGGAGGGCAAAGGGAGAGGGACAAGTAGATTCCCTGCTGAGCGCAGAGCCTGACATGGGGCTGGATCCCAGGATCTTGAGATCATGACCTGGGCCGAAGGCACTTAACGGACTGAGCCACCCAGGCACCCCTAAAGTAAATAAATCTTTTTTTTTTTTTTAAAGGCATTTTAATAGGTTCATACTGGTTTCTAAGAAGAATTCATAGTTGTAAATATAGCAATTATTCACAATTATATGATGTTGCAGAGAAGTCTAAGCAGGTCTTTTATTTCTTAAATTTATGATATTCTAACTTGCTTAGTTTCTTCTCACTTTTAGAAAATAGTGCACATATTTTTAAATGAAGTATAATTAATCTTATGAAAATTTAAATTATAATCTCCTCCTAACTTCTAAGAAATTGCCAGTTTTTATCTTAAGTTTACAAGAACTGGAACATTAAAAGATTTTTCTTTTTTTAAAGATTTTATTTATTTATTTGACAGAGAGACAGCGAGAGAGGGAACACGAGCAGGGGGAGTGGGAGAGGGGAAGCAGGCTTCCTGCCGAGCAGGGAGCCAGATGTGAGACTCGATCCCAGGACCCTGGGATCATGACCTGAGCCGAAGGCACATGCTTAACAACTGAGCCACCCAGTCGCCCCAAGATTTTTCAATATACCAGATTTTATTTCTGTTTATAGAATAATCTGGTTATTAACCCAAAAAACCTAGGAAAATGCGAACCAGAGAATTTATCGTGTGTGTTACTCCTGCCAGGCTTTGTTTATTTTTGTTTTGTTTTGCTCAGAATATATTTAAGTAAAAATTCTTTATGTGATCTCTTTGCTTTGCCCTTTTCACATTTATATAAAGTCATGTTCCTTGAACACAAAATCCTGAAAACACTAAGTAATACCAGTTGTATGTCAGTCTTTCCAAAGAGATTCTAAATGTTTTCTTCTTTGAGTCTTTTAGGTAATAGTACCTATTGGAAAGAAAAATTTTCAATTAGGTAAAAGTGTTTTTGCCTTCCAGAGAAATGTTAAGGATCTCATGGATTCAAATGGAATTAGAATTCTTGTGGACTTGCTTACCCTTGCACATCTCCACGTGAGCCGAGCTACAGTACCACTACAAGTATGTGTGCTTACCTAGATTTCACAAGTTTAACCGCCTTTGAGGACAATTTCGGATCAAAAGAATCGTAAAAATTTACATGAAAACCTGTCAATATATGTGGTCCTGAATATGGCCAGTAAAAGTTAAAATAACCATAAGAACAATCTCAAATGGACAGTGTTGATCCAATTTTATTTTTCAAGTGTCTCTTTTGTCTTTTAAAGTAACTGTATCTCTAATGTGGCTTATTTTGAGGCAATGTGACCTTTCAGATTTAAACTGAATTTGTCAGTTATGTAATTAGAACTTATGGCATTGACAGCCACTGAGAATATACTTTGCCTTTAGGAATCTGGAGGCCTTATTGAAACCAGCCAGTAAGAGGATAGAACTGCAAGTCTCTACTGAAAGGCCTCTTCTGATACCTAACTTGTAGAAGAGATCTATACCTAGCTCACTGGTGATTTTTTTGGTATTGTGTTTTGTTTTTGTTTAATCTCCTAGTTCAAGGAGATGTTCCATGTTAGTTTCTGGCTTATTGTGTACAAAAGTGCTATTTGAATATTTAGAATATGGCATTTTCTATTGTCAGGTATGAGTAATAGTAATTATGATGCTTGTGTAGCATGACAGTATATCAGGTACTATTCTGGTATATGTGATATATTCACTCTTTAAATTCCCCAGTGGTTGTCCCATTTTACAGGTGAAAAAACTGTGGGACAGAGAAGCCAAGTGTTTTACCCAAGGCCACCCATTAAGGAACAGAGCCAGTTAGAACCCAGATGTCTAAGCTCTTAACCACTTTGCTATGTCTGTCTGTATGAATCTAACCATACGCTGGTAGTTATGAGGGTAGTTAAAAACCTTGTTTTAATAAAATATGCTAACTAAATAAAAATTTTATCTTTGGTTCTCATAAACATTGATGTATAAAATTATAAGAATTATCTGTAGTGAGGGTAGTAGATTGAAAGTGTTTAAATGCATTAAAAACCTTTTAGCATTTTAACTCTTTGATCTCAGATACTTATTGAACTTTTAGTTGGAGTGAGTTTTTTCCCTCAAAAGAACTTTAGTATTTTCAGCATTGTGGTTTAAGGTTAATGTTGTATTTCTTTATATAGGTATTTATAATATTCTTTGCTACTAAAATTTTACTGGCATGAGAATTTATTTAATGTCCATAGGGAATGTAAATGTCTTTGAATTTAGCTTAGATTGCCAAGTGAATTTAGGAAACCATTTATTTCAAATGCATATTAGTAAGGAAATAGCTTTTTTGGACTACTCAGTTAGACATCTGATCCTTTTCTCTTAAAATAAGGTCACCTGAAATTTAGGTGATTTTCCAAAGGGGTGTAAACCCAGAGAGTTAGTACCGTGTTACTATTTATGGTATCTGCCCCCTTAGATTTCTGCCTTGAAAAATAACTACATCTTTTTAAAACTCAGAGCAATGTAATCGAAGCCTCTCCAGATATGAAGCGAGAGAGTGAAAAGGAATGGTACTTTGGCAATGCAGACAAAGAAAGGAGTGGCCCATATGGATTTCATGAGGTTAGTGTCTTAGAGAAACTTTTTGTGATGGTCTTTGTCCTTCTTATACCCTCCTGCTTAGCACACAGAGAGAGAGAGGTTGAGTATTTTCAAACTATGATTTGAAGTACTGTCATCAGCTCCAAGGGCTCAGCCATCAACTTCCCCATGAAGGATTAGATGGCTTGCAGTTATAAAGAACCACACGCACAGAAACAGACACACAGTCATGTCTTCAAACCTTGTTGTTTATAAGCTGTTGTTACAGAGGTGGCACTTAGATTTTTAATGAATTTTAAATAATAATAACAATTGCTACCTTAATAATTAATTGTAAGCTATTATAATATTATAGATATTAAGGCTTTTCAAACTATAACACTTCTATATGGAATGAATAGGTAAATTTTTTAATATGCAGTCTGAAATTCTTTGAAAATTGCCTGTGCAATCCAAGGGCAATTTCCATCTTAACATCTGCTGATACTTGATCTTGCCCTCTCAGGCTCAGGTGAAATTTAGCCAAAGATAGTTTTATTGAAGACCAAGCCTTCTGCTTGTATATATTTTGGTCATTTTACACTCTGCCTGCTGTTTTCATTCTTCCCAATGTTCTTTATGCTCTGCAGGTTGGCCAACTAAATGGTTGTTTTCTTATATTAGTAACCTATTTCAGGTTCTTGAAGACTTGTCAACAAAAGTTTGTTATTGTTTTTTGATAGTGAACTTGGATGTTTATTACCATAGTTCATGTATTTGCCACAAAACAGAAAACCTTAGCAAACCTCATTTTGCTTTGTTTGTGTTTGTAATAACGGTGCCTTCCATTGATTTAGATGCAAGAATTGTGGACCAAAGGAATGTTGAATGCAAAAACCAGATGCTGGGCTCAAGGCATGGATGGATGGCGACCACTTCAGGCAATACCTCAGCTTAAGTGGTGTCTGTTAGCCAGTGGACAGGCTGTTCTAAATGAAACTGACCTTGCTACCCTTATATTGAACATGTTGATCACAATGTGTGGATATTTCCCAAGCAGGTAAAATGTAATTGAACATTTCCATGGTTAATAGGGACTCTAAAATAATCTTGTTCTCTCCATTTGCATGGGAACTTCCTCAGTAACAACATGGGATTACCCTGATGATTTAGAGCAAAGATATTCCATTTGTGACCTTGAGGGACTGATGCTTTGAGTTTTGGAGCTTTTGAAACATAAAGAAAGAATTTGCAAAATATATTGAAAAGGTAGCTAAAAAGTGACTTTCTCTAGGAAACTTCAAATAATGTTACAAAATTGAGGCTTACTAACTGCACTCTAGCAACAGTAACAATTGTCACATTGCTGTGAATCAGGTATGAACATTTGAAATAAACATACTGCAGCCTGTAGACAGTGGTGAGTGCCACCAGCTCCTTAATCAGTCAGGTTAGCCACTCCTGGTATAGAACTTGAGTCTAAGCCTGGATCTCACCCCACATCTTGTCCCACTTGACAAGTGAAGGTGAGACTGTGTTCTAGAGTGATAATTGTAACTGTTGCATGGAACTTTTGATATTTATAAAATATTTGCATATTATGTATCATTTTATTACTCTACTAGAGACATTTTGTGATGGAAGTTACTGAGAAACTATCAGTTTTATAACACTTGAGGCTTTCATGGTTCCAATTCTCTTTAAATTTCAGATCAGTCTTAAAAGCATACAATTAGCATTTCGAAGGAATGTAGCATTAAAATTAAAGCTATACGTGGAAAATACTGCGAATAGTTAAGGTTTAAAATTATGTGACAAAGTTAGATATGCCCTTTGGGGGGAAATACCTCTGACAGTGTGTTGGACAACACCAAGTTTAATCAATTAAATAATAAATAAGAGTCTTTGGCTCTTCTAGGGTACTGTTTTTCAAGGAAATCTTATGGAAGGAAATGAAGTCATATTAAGCAGCCAAATAGATTTAAACCAAAATACCTAATCATGTTCCCAGCTGTATGAGAGCTTAGTCTTCATTAACAAAAAAGTAAGGTAACATGCTTCATGCCTAGTAGAATGTCATATCCTCTGCACATACAAATTTTAATAAATATATTAAATGTTGACCTTAGAAAATACTTTCTAGGGATCAAGATAATGCCATCATTCGGCCTTTACCGAGAGTGAAAAGACTGCTGTCAGATAGCGCTTGTCTTCCCCATATTATTCAGGTGAGTTATCTTAATGTTACCAAATTAGGGACAGTATTTTAAGAATCATTCTCCCTTATTCAGTTTTGGCATGAGCCCTACTCTTTGTTTTATTGTAGTGTATTCCATTTCCAGAAAGCCTGAACCCTGATTTACATATATTTCACTTATTCCTCATTGAGTTGATATTCTGAATATACTATGGAAGATTGTATATCCAAGAACCTAAACATAGGAAGCCTCCAGACTCCAGAATTACTCTCAGCAGGTTTTCTTTATTATGCATTTTTCAAATCACACCGTTGAAGTTAGAACTCCTGAGAAGCATACCAGTGGGCCACAGAAGTGGACATGTGGTCGGCTATATTCCAAGAAATATCACAGCAGTCTTGCCAGCTTGCTCAGAGTTTGACTCTTTTCAGTTCAGTGTTTTCATGGATAGCAACTGACCCAACACATTGAGTTGGAATTAATGTAGGTTATACTGAAGTATTTTTTCTTCGTTTTTCCCCTCATTATTCCACTTTTTTGGAATTAGGCTATCCAGATTAGCATTAAATCCAAATAAGTCAAGTCCCAGAGATTTCAGGTCAGTGTTTCCCTCCTGTCTATTAAATATCCTGTTGTTAAGTCTCGTCATTTATTTATCTTAAAAGATTTTATTTATTTGAGAGAGAGAGCACAAGCAGGGGGAGAGGGAGAGGGAGAAGCAGGCTCCCCGCTGAGCAGGGAGCCCGATACGGGGCTCGATCCCAGGACCCTGGGATCATGACCTGAGCTGAAGGCAGACGCTTAACGACTGAGCCACCCAGGCGCCCCAGGAATTCACTTACTTTTTAAAAAAATTTTTAAAAAAGATTTTATTTATTTGACAGAGAGAGAGAGAGAGAGAGATCAGGAGGAGTGGCAGGCAGAGGAAGAAGCAAACTCCCGCTGAGCAGGGAGCCCGATGCGGGGCTCGATCCCAGGACCCTGGGATCATGACCTGAGCTGAAGGCAGATGCTTAACTGACTGAGCCACTCAGGTGCCCCTAAATCCCATTTTTTATATTAACCACGCATGATGTGACTTTCAAGTGTATGGCAGTAACCTGTGCTATTTGTACACATCAGTTGTACATTGATGTGAAAAGGGAGAGGAGAATTACTTAGTTTGTATATTTTTACATTCATAGGTGTGCAAGTGCCTGTGTAAGTCACTGATAATGAGAAAGTCCTCTGAAATACGACAGTGACAGTACCCTATCAACTCCCCCGCCCCCCCCGCCCCCAACTTCTGTTATTTAAGCATGTCAGCATTTCAAAATCTGTATGCTTTTCTGTTGTGGACCTTTCTGTTTCACTACTTAAATGAAAGAGCACTGCAATTATTGTTTCTTGTAACCTAACACCTACTCCAGCCCAGAGGATTATGTATGGCTGCGTATGTGAGGTGGCACGAGGAGAGGGATTTTTTCTATTCTGGACATGTAGGTAAAGGCCTGTAAATCTACCTCTCCCAAGTATTTTTCCAAGACTTAGGGAATTGAAAGAAAGAGATAAATGCAAACACTGTTGAATTTCAGGCCAGGAAAACATGACTAAAAAAACTTTTGAGAGATGTGGTTGGTATAACACAACACTTCGGAGGGGAAGAGTCCGTTTTTAAAAAGTTTTTTTTTATTTTTTAAAGATCTTATTTATTTGTCAGAGAGAGAGCACAAGGGGGGAGAGCTGCAGGCAGAGGGAGAAGCAGGCTTCCCGCTGAGCAAGGGGGTACACGATCCCAGGACCCTGGGATCATGACCTGAGCCAAAGGCAGACGCTTAACCAACTGAGCCACCCAGGCGCCCAGCCTATCTGTTCTTAATAGTATATACCACCTGTATCTTTTATACTAAGTTCAAAAAGTATTTTTTTAGAAACTCTTTTTGTTTTTCCTTAATTTCACACATTCTTGGAGATTGTAATCTTGCTAAACACAGGCAGCTATAGTAGTGTTCAGGAACATAGTGTTTACATTGGTCGGTACAGATTTCTGTACTTCATTTGACTTTAAGAGCAATCTCTGGCTTGACCTTTTGATAACATCTTCAGAATTTTTAGAGTGTGTCTAAGGGGTGCTGGGTGGCTCAGTTGGTTAAGTGACTGCCTTCGTCTCAGGTCATGATCCTGGAGTCCCGGGATCGAGTCCCGTATCGGGCTCCCTGCTCAGTTGCTCTCTCTATCTCATTCTCTCTCTCAAATAAATAAATAAAATCTTTAAAAAAAAAAAAAAGAGTGTGTCTAAAATAGAGTGAGTGAATGTCTTAGGTTTTCTGGTATAGTCATAATTTCAAATATTCTGAATTTTTGCCTGCTAATTCCCATATTTTTGTTAAAGTGATATCAAGTCTTTTTTTTTTTTTTTAAGATTCTTTATTTATTTGACACAGAGTGAAAGAGAGAGAGAGAGACAGCAAGAGAGGGAACACAAGCAGGGGGAGTGGGAGAGGGAGAAGCAGGCTTCCTGCCGAGCAGGGAGCCTTATGTGGGGCTCGATCCCAGGACCCTGGGACCATGACCTGAGCCGAAGGCAGACGCTTAACGACTGAGCCACCCAGGCGCCCCAAGTGATATCAAGTCTTGAACTACAACTGCTGTTAAACTAGGGAGAATCCTGTGCTACTGTATCTCAATTTTTCTTTCTTTTTTTTCAACTTTTCCTTTAAAATATGTCATAGTACTAAACACTCAGTCTAAACAACTCGTTGAACAGATAAGACCCCAAAACACAGAGAAATCCAAATTATTTACTTAAAGACATATAGCAACTCAGTCTTGTAACTGAGTCTACAACTTTGACCTCCTAATGTGAGCTAGTATTTACTCGTTAGTGCAGTTTTTTTACTGGTACCATTTGACCCAACATTGGGGATTCTTGGGAAGTGTTTATAGAAAATTAAAATGCCACTTATATTAAGATAAAACTTATTAATATCTTTATCAAGTGTTTAGTCATAGCAACTCTGTATGATTTTTTAAAGCCCGGATTCATTATGGTAGTCCCATGTACTCCCTCCAGTACCCCTAGCTCAAATTTCCAGAGACCCCCGTCTCTTGGTACTTTTTGGCAGTAGCAGAAGTACTGCTGGTATTCAGTTACCCATTTGCCCTCTACTTGCACTTGTACATCTATTTTTTAGTGCTGTTAGTGTCCACTGATAGTTCTCTGCTCTGCTCCTTGAGTTCTCAAGTAGTCTTCAGGGAATGCTTCATGTTCTGAAACTAACCTAGAGCATAGCTATTTTCCTTTTTTATTTTGTCATTAACAAAGAAGTCCACTCAAGAAGATTCCTGCATAAGAAACAGTTTTACCTATAACCATGACAGCATAGCTTCAGGCATCTTTGGGCCTTTTCTGAATAAGTTTTGATCAATTCTCAGTGTTTTACTATCTCTGCATTAAGTTCATTTTGAACTAATTTTCAAATCTTTCAAATGAACTAATTTTTGTATCTGTTGCGTCTGGTAGACAAGCTTACTAAATCCCACAGATTTTTATTTTATAACTTACAAGAAACTATAACTTCAGCACATGAAATACATAAACTTAAGGTAAATGATGTTATTACAAGTTATTTTTTATAATCCAGTAACAAAAACATTTTATTTTTTTAGCTACTGCTGACCTTTGACCCTATCCTTGTTGAGAAGGTTGCGATTTTGTTATGCCATATCATGCAAGATAACCCACAGTTACCTCGTCTTTATCTTAGTGGAGTATTTTTCTTTATCATGATGTATACAGGTTCCAATGTGCTTCCTGTTGCTCGGTAAGAACTTTAATGGTAATCTTAAAGCTATAATTTGAAATGTACAGGGATAAATATTTTTTTAATTGATTATTTTTTTGAGTATATCATTGCTTTTGTTAAGTTTTTCATTATAAAAGCTGTTTATATGTCTGAAAATTTGGAAATTAGAATGGGTAAAAAATGACTCAGAATCACACCACTTTACCACATCTAATCGAAGATTTTGTCACCATCTTTTATAATACAATTCAAATATATGTATTTAAGTATACTCATATTGCACATACGGTTTTACATTTTGCTTTTTCTTCAAATTGGGTATTTTTTCATATTATTAATATGACCATAATTTAAAAATCTTCCTAATTTAATTTCTTGCCTTAATTAGAAATAAAACAGTTTGGGAATATGTATTTACAAGTTGCCTTTTGTGGCTTTTATTTATCTATAAAAAAATCTGATCTTTAGAAACCTAAGGTTACTAAATTTAAATCCTTTCCTATGTCTGACAAGTCATTTTTTTCCCTAGATTTTTGAAGTACACGCATACCAAACAGGCTTTCAAGTCAGAGGAGGTAAGCCAGATTAATCCTCTGAATGTATAACTTAACACTGGATAAGCTGTCTTGGCACTTAAGTTTCCTGAGCTGTGTATGTTTACTAGATTGTAAGCACTTGAGGGCAGGTACTGTTTTACTCATTTTTCACATTCCTTGTGGTACCTTGTACATAGAAAGTCTTAAGCTAATATTTTTTAATGAAAATAAATGTTGCCCATTGGATTTAGAATTGAAATTTCAGATGGGAATTATAACTTGACACTGCTGTGAATATAACTTGTTCCTTTTTGTAAAATTTAATAATTTTCATAAATATTTGAGTATATATCTGAATCTCATATAATCAGCTAAAATTCAGTTAAGACTTCAGCCTTCTTTTTGTTCAGATCACAAGGTGGCAGAAGTGCTAAGTTTCTTTTTTGAAGCTACTTAATTTTTCAGGTGCTCTCAAGTGTCTTTCCATTTTACTGGGGAAGAAAAATAGGAATCCAAAAAAGATAAGACTCATCCAGATAGCTTTGACAACCTGAAACCTTATACCTACATTTTACAGAAGTATTTATTGTCAAAACATAACTGAAAGATGTTTCCAATTTTGTTAGGATTTTCATGGAACATTGATTTTTCAGATTTTATTGAGAGCAGAAGAATAAACCAAAACCAGACCACTGTTGAGACTAATCAAGGAATGTTTATGCCACCTTGACAGTGGACACTAGATCAAACTGCATGTTTTCTTAGACAAGCCAGTGAAGCCCTGGAAAATAATCTAATGATATTAAAGTGATGCCTATGGCAGCATAATTTCTACAGTTTTATACAAATAGAAAATGAGAATATAAAAAAAGTTTTTAAAAAATTACTTCTAATGCTACCTCCGTAGCATAGCATTAGACATTTTCTAGCATTCTTTTTTCCCTTTTTTTGCACAGTTATGCATATGTAATCTTTCTTTCAAATTTTTATAACATGAGAAATGATAATGTCATTTCACCTAACAATATTTTGGTTAATTAGGGCAAAACTGTGTTTGTAACAGAACCCTGGATGCAGGAATTACCAAATAATAGTATTCTGTAAGAACAGAGCAAGCATTTCTTCATCCCAAAATTTAACAGATAGTGAATTTATGCCTTTTATTAGCGAAAAGCCTGGAAGTATTCATCATCTAATTTGTCTTGGCACTAGGTAGTAAAACCATGTCTGGGTTTTTTCTTCTGTTTCTTTGTCAGATCCTAGAGAAATAAAACATTCTCAATTTGCCTAGAAAGAAAAATGAAAAGTATTTATAGTCCTTAGGATTTTATTTCTATCAGGTAAAGAAATGAGTTTTAAAATTTAGTATGATAAAGTATGGTCATTATCCTGATTCCATTTGGCCAGCCAGAGAATATGAAGTCCTTAAAATAGTTCATTATAATTACTTTGAATAGATATTCTCCAACTAAATAGCCACACTTCATGAGGACAGGCTTTTTAAGATGTTGATTTTCTGGACTTACTTGTTTTTGAAAACATGAAGCAGGTACAGGTGAAAATTGCAACCGACAACATAACACAATAATTGATGTAAATCGTTGCGGAATCTCTCCTTGTGTTGTCCTTTCCTATTACACATGGTTCAAAGCCAGTTGTCCTAAATAATGTCGGGAGCACCTGACACCTAAGGAGCCTCAGTCTGCTGGAGGCCCAGCGAGTGTTAATTCTATCTTAGGAGCTCATGCCAAAGCCAGTTAATACCAGACATCTTCCACTTCACATTTTGCCATGTTTCCATCTAAATTTCCAAAGCATAAAAGCAATTTGTTCCAGTTGTTTTCTTAAACTGTTCTCTAATCCTAATTCATTTATTAGAAAATTGAAAGATAACTTCAGTGTTTCTGTGTCTTGTTTTGTTTTAAAGACAAAAGGACAAGATATTTTTCAGAGAAGTATACTTGGGCACATCCTTCCAGAAGCAATGGTTTGTTACTTAGAAAATTATGAGCCTGAAAAGTTTTCTGAGATTTTTCTAGGAGAATTTGATACTCCAGAAGCAATCTGGAGCAGTGAAATGAGGTAAATAGTCCATTGATCGTTTGCATTTTATACTCAGAATCTGTGCATCTTGCCATCTGGTTTGACTTCTGTTAAAAGAACTGCTTTCACATAGTTACATGATCTAAGCTACAGTCATTGGTGCCAAATCAGGTGACGAGTCTGACAGGGCTGTAAGCTTTTTTCTGTTCTTACATGATTTGACAAAGTTACTGTTTCCTTAATAGAGCTTAATGTAAGGGTAGAGCCTGTTAACCACTGATGATTCTTAAATCAATCTATAGAGCTGGTAGAATTTTAGGCAGTATATACAAGGAATATATAGAGATAAAATCAAGACACACTTCCTTGGTATTTGGAAATAGAACTGTACTCCACTAATTAAAAACTGTGACCACGTAGAATGGATCACACCAGAGATACCCCAAATCATTTTAGAATGAGACCCCCTAGTCAGCACATTTTGACCTTAATGTGGAAGTTAGCATTCCTAAAGAATGTCCTTTAAGAGGAAAAGCCTGTGAAAACAAGAAAAACTAGAGCCACAGAAGCAGATGTCAGCATCCAGACAGGCTCTGGAAAAGAGTGCACACTTCATAGATCTAATGTCAAGACCATTTCTGTGGCGAACCCCTCAGTCCTCTTAGCTGGATGGCAGTTGATCTTCCTAGCCAGTTATTCACTCCCTTAGCTGAGTTCACACTCACAGTGCCATTTGCTGGTTATCATTTGCCTTGTCTCCTTAGGTTGACCTGTAGACTTGGCATGTGCTAGCCACCAACTTGAATATATTCTGTATGACAGTCATGTTTTTCACTGGAACAAATGCATAGGAATATGAAAGGGCTTACAACACAATTTTTCTATCTAATATTTTTCTCCTCTGATTGGTTAATATGAGTCCCTATCTAAAAGATATAGCCATCTGTATACTAGTCAAATCAAGTTTTTGCTGAACTGAGGGCCAGACCCCAGATTGTTAAATAAATTATCATGTAGTGGGCTTCTTTGGGGGTACTAGGAAACCTAGTCCCCTGTTTATGCCCTCATGCATTGCATGAGGTATGCAGATGCCATACCATTTGACCTTCTAATGACTGATTTTTGAAAGGACTGGGAATATCAGCCTTTTGTTCTGTAGTTGTCTTTATAGATAAGTACTACAAATAAGTTTATGTCTATTGAGGATTTTTACACAATTAACTTTAGAATGCCCTCAGTAACATAAACACTCAATTTTAGGCCAATAGTTGAATTACTCTAAAGAAGATCCATGTAATTATCTTGTGTGACTACCTGTCTTAAAACCTTTTTTTTTTTTTTAACTGAAATAATACCTTCATAATTCTTGGAAATTTTTGTAATTGTAGGCGCCTCATGATAGAGAAGATTGCTGCCCATCTTGCTGATTTCACACCACGTCTTCAGAGTAACACAAGAGCACTTTATCAGTATTGTCCCATCCCAGTAATCAACTATCCACAACTAGAAAATGAACTATTTTGTAATATTTATTACCTCAAACAACTTTGTGATACACTCCGGTTTCCTGATTGGCCCATTAAAGATCCGGTAAGCCAGTAGATTATTTTGTGCCTTCTCAAACTGTAGAAATAGCCTCTAATCACTTCTGGATATTTCTTCCTCCTCTTATAAGGATAATAGCTTCCTTAAGTGTTCCTTCTTGCTTAAACACTATGTAACTTTGAGTATAGTTCAGTATATTTGGGTAAATCTCAAACTGAAAGGTAACTTTTTTTTTAAAGATTTTATTTATTTATTTGACAGAGAGAGAAAGATAGAGCACAAGCAGGGGGAGCAGCAGAGGGAGAGGGAGAGGCAGACTCCCTGCTAAGCAAGGAGCCCAATGCGGGGCTCAATCCCAGGACCCTGGGATCATGACCTGAGCCAAAGGCAGTTGCTTAACCAACTGAGGCACCCAGGCACCCTGAAAGATAACTTTTTGAGGAATTATTAAGAACTTTACAATCTTGATTTTTTTGACAAATATAAACATAATTTCATATATAATAATTATATACTATAATAGCTTGGTGGAAACTTGTCTTTATAGCATATTGAGTAAGCTCACAGATACTGGAGTTAGGCAGTCTGGGATTGAGTCTCAGCTGGGCCATTAATAGGTCTGTTTAACATTGCCTGATTTCTCTAGGCCTCAGTTATGGTAATAGTACTACTACTACTAACAGCAACTATCTCATGTGGTTGGGAAAATTGAGAACTCATATTAAAAAATAGCGTAATTCCTGGCACACGTAGGAGGCACTAAGTGAGACCTGCTCGTTTATATAGCAGTGCCCTTAGGAACTCTCCAACTTGAGCCCCTGAATGTCTACTGGAACCCTGGAAAGGCCTGGTTGCCCATGTTGGCTTGTTACTGTAGCAGAGGTTATACCATCATCCTTACCATCAAAAAGATTTCAGAACAGTTCCGTTTGTGCCAGTAGACATTGCCTCTTTACTGTGACCAAATGAAGACAGGTATCTCTGCTACTTGGTGTGGATTCAGCATGAAGTAATAGAAGAGTATGGGCTTTTTAGTCAGACCTAGGTTTGAATCCAGTTGCATCACTTATTAAGTGGGAAACATGGAGCTATCTCTCAGAATCTGAATGGTTTCATGTATTATTGAAATTTTACAAAAGAATTAGGTCTGCTACAGTGCTAGAGTCTGTAAAGCACCTAGCTCCTTGGCGTAAAGGCATGCAGTAAATATTAGCTTTCTTCTGACCTGCTACTCAGACTCCCTTGTTTTTACTATCCCTTAGATTTGTTTGAATGCCAGCTTACTGGTAATTACATTAGATCACCTCGAGGAGCATGCCACCATATACTACTGCTTTCTTTCTTACTGCAGTGTATCATCTACTAATTTAAAATTTTTCAGTACTTCATGAACACTTAACAATTAAAAATAAGACAAAAATTGGCAGAGAATAAAAATTTCACATAAGAGGGTTGTCTGGGTGGCTCACTCGTTTAAGTGTCCGACTCTTGGTTTCGGTTCAGGTCATGATCTCAAGGTTGTCAGATCAAGCCTTGCATCCGGCTCCGTGCTAGGCATGTAGCCTGCTTAAGATTCTCTCCCTCTCTCCTCCCCCTGCCCCTCCACCTCCTCTAAAAAAATCACATAAAAAGAGAGGGATGTAGCCCTATAGCAGGTACCTTGCCATCTATTTAGCAGTGCTAAGAAGGTGATTTTGATTATTTGTATTTCAGAGAATTGTAATCATTGAATAGTCTAGAAATGTCATTTTAAATATATATAACACAAGAATTCTGTAACTTAAAAATTACATTCTGAAATAGTTTTGCATTAAGAGTTATAAATTTTATTTATTTTTTTTATGTTACATTAATCACCATACATTACATCATTAGTTTTTGATGTAGTGTTCCATGATTCATTGTTTGGGCATAACACCCAGTGCTCCATGCAGTACGTGCCCTCTTTAATACCCATCACCAGGCTAACCCATCCCCCCACCTCCCTCCCCTCTAGAACGCTCAGTTTGTTTCCCAGAGTCCATAGTCTCTCGTGGTTCGTCTCCCCCTAAGAGCTATAAATTTTAATCCTCTGTCTTTAAGGTTAAGCTTCTAAAAGATACACTTGATGCCTGGAAGAAGGAAGTAGAAAAGAAGCCACCTACAATGTCAATAGATGATGCTTATGAAGTGCTTAATCTCCCTCAAGGACAGGGGCCGTGAGTTATTTTCAGTATTCCAGTAGTAAATTTCTGCCTTGTCTTAGAATATTAATATCAAAGGCGAAATTCTTAAACCAACACTTTAGAAATTTTTTGCCTATTCTTTGATATATACACCTATGGGGATAGCCATATGGAACTATATCCGTGTGATTATCACTTACTGCAAATTTATTAGCAGAATTAACATTTTTCTCTCCTTGCTGGTACAGTCTTTGCTCTCTGTTAATTGAAATAATGGATGCGAAACACTTGGCACTGTATCTGACACATGGTTACTCACATATTCATCTTCCCCCTTCCTCTTACGGTTTGTGTTATACATGAGGAAGAGATCTGGTAGCAGTATCTTTAGGACACTAAATGACAGATGGGTAAGAATGTAGATTTACTTCATTAATTTATTAGAGACGTTTTTATAGTAGAATAGATAATATGAGAGAAAAATGGTTTAAAGGACGTTTTCTTAAGTATAGACTGAATTTGTATGTTTTTGGCAAGGCTGATAGTTAAATTACTTAAAATTACAGAGTTTGAAGTATTTTGAAAAATTAGTTTGAAAAAAATATCTTAGTTCTTCAAATATGGTTTTGTAATTTGAAGTGATAACTTTCCATAGGGAACATTGAAGTTTTATCTTTCAGATGTAAAGATAACATATGAAGAATTTCTTGACTCTTGCTGGGTTTAATTTGATGCCTAATTTATGATCATATACAATAAGAGTAAAGTTCTTACAGTATTTTTTTTTTAAAGATTTACAGTATTGTTTTAAATAACGATGTAAAATTTTTTCTTGCATCCTACTCTGTTAAAAATAATTTTGCTATTCAACAGGCATGATGAGAGCAAGATCAGAAAAGCTTACTTCAGACTTGCACAAAAGTACCACCCTGATAAGAATCCAGAAGGGAGGGTATGTACTGCCTTTGGAATTAAGACTTTTGGATTGACTTCCTTTTGCTCTATTACTGTTGTAGGTGGAGAAAAGATATACTCACTCCCTCTGCTACTATCTGCCTTATAATATAATGCCCAGTGTATGTCAAATTAACTTTTAGCCCACATGCCCATGGTTTCTGCACGAATGGTCCTCCCTCAGTTTACCAAAAGGACTGCCCTTGTGACTAGTAACTTCTGGATATTTTCTCCTGTATGAGAATTAACTCTATGGACAGTTACATGAATAATTGAACATTAGGAATGTGCATGAACGTAATTCATTTGTAGGTGATGTTATTGCCATCCAAATTGCTTTGGGTAATTTTTTTTTTTTCTAACTACATCCAACTTCATATTGTTCTAAATGAAAAAGTAGAAATTTGGATCAGACTTAAAGTTATCAGGTGTCAGCATTTCTTGATCCTGCCTCTTGCAGCTTCCTACTAAAATACCAAGAAAGATTCATAAAAGATGAAATCACACAGTAACTTCTATAACTAAGACTGGTGGTTTATTGCTAGAAACTTGGAGTAATTTCCACTGATTTCAAGGCTAATGTTTTTTTTATTAGAGATAGACAGTATTCCTACTTGGAAAGACTTGGTATTGAAAAGATATTGCTTTTATATGTTTAAGACATTTTTTTTTATTCTTATGTTAATCCCCATACATTACATCATTAGTTTTAGATGAAGTGTTCCATGATTCATTGTTTGTGCATAACACCCAGTGCTCCATGCAGAACGTGCCCTCCTCAATACCCACCACCAGGCTAACCCATCCTCCCACCCCCCTCCCCTCTAGAACCCTCAGTTTGTTTTTCAGAGTCCATCGTCTCTCATGGTTCGTCTACCCCTCCGATTTCCCCCGCTTCATTCTTCCCCTCCCGCTACCTTCTTCTTCTTTTTTTTTTTCCTTAACATATATTGCATTATTTGTTTCAGAGGTACAGATCTGAGATTCAACAGTCTTGCACAATTCACAGCACTTACCAGAGCACATACCCTCCCCAGTGTCTATCACCCAGTCACCCCATCCCTCCCACCCCACCCCCCACTCCAGCAACCCTCAGTTTGTTTCCTGCGATTAAGAATTCCTCATATCAGTGAGATCATATGATACATGTCTTTCTCTGTTTGACTTATTTCAGTTTAAGACATTTTTAATCAAAAGTTCCGGATTTTTTGAGAAATGTATAGCAATTCAGATTCATCTGGGAGAGAAAACAAAATAGGAAGAAATATTTGAAATCAGTATTAAAGTTCTAGACTTAACCTATGAGATGTTAAAATACTCTCTAAAGCTATAATAATAGTAAAACAGTATGACCCTGACACAAGAATCAACATGTAGCTCAAGGAACATAATACAGTGTTGTAACACTTAAAGAGCATGGATTTAGGAGTCAGACCTGCATGTAAGTCTTAGCCCATCACACAAGTTATTTAACATTATCTAAAAAATGAGGATATAACTGTACACGCCTCATATGGCTGTTTGGAGGATTTAATGAGATAGTGTTTGTAAAGCATATTCAGTACAATGCCTACTGTAGTACTCAGTAAATAGTGGCTCTTCTGTTATTTTTATAATAGCTCACAAACTGTCTTTGGTGTGTATGAGTTCAGTGTGGGTATAAACCCAGTGAAGAAGAATTTTTTAGTAATGGTATTAAGATCAATAAAAAGCTATTTGTGGGGAAGAGAAAAAGTTTCACCTTCCATGTATACCAGCTAGATTACAATTGGAATGAATTCCTTAATGTAAAAAAAACAAAAACAAAATAATAACTAAAGAAGTTACTGGTAAAATACAAACCAGCTGTGTTCTGTTGAAGTTGTGGTTTGAGATGTGCCAAACTAAAAGTTAATTATCTTTGGTCATACACAGGATATGTTTGAAAAAGTAAATAAAGCGTATGAATTTTTATGTACCAAATCAGCAAAAATAGTTGATGGACCAGATCCAGAGAATATAATTTTAATTCTGAAAACGCAGAGCATCCTCTTCAACCGTCATAAAGAAGGTAAGGCATATGTTATTCTCAAATTTTAGTTTACCTTCCAGCTAATTCTACCAGGTTACTTGTTTCTATAGCATATTTTAATAGACTTAGAGTTATTGTTGCAAAAGACTCTTAGAATTGCATTTTAGATATAGTAAAAGAGTAGTTTTCTGTCAGAAGGCCCAAAATGTTGTTTGTATTATACTTTCTACTTCTTATCTACGGTTTTCAATATTTTGCATTTCCAGTGAATTTTCGTTATTCCTTCCTGAAGGACATTTGTGTTCTGTGGAGGTTTTTTTGTGTTTAGCTATTTAGCAGCAAACATTAAATGAGATCTATAATGGATCTGGAATTTAAGGATCATTTCACATTGTTCTTAAATCACATGTAAAAGTCTGTGCCTGTTACAACTTTAGAAGCTTCTGAAGGATGGTCTGTCTTTAAAAAGCAATAGAAACTTTTCACATGATCATATGCTTCTTTCATAATTCTCATTTCCTGTGATAGCTCTCAAAACTCTCTGATCCTGGGGCACCTGGGTGACTCAGTCACTTAAGTGTCTGCCTTCGGCTCAGGTCATGATCCCAGTGTCCTGGGATCGAGCCCCACATTGGGCTCCCTGCTCAGTGGGGAGCCTGCTTCTCCCTCTCCTTCTGCCGCTGCCCTTGCTCATGCTCTCTCTTTCTCTCTCAGTCAAATAAATAAATAAAATCTTAAAAAAACAAAAAACCCCACCAAACCTCTCTGATCCTGTGGGACAGTTTGAAAAGCACTGTTGTAGAAGAAATAGGTCTGATTTTGGAGTACAGGGTTATTGGGAATTTCCAGCATGTTTGCAGGGCCATTTCCAGTAACAACAGCACCTTTTGTAGGTGCTGTTGTTAGGTTCAAGACAGCAGGTATCCTTTGGCTTGGGAACTGAACTTGGCTTGATGCACCGTGTGGGAGACCCATTTGCTCCGTAGGATGATGATGGGAAAGAAGGAAGAGAGGACAGTGGGGATTTGAGATAAGCAGGACTTTTAGGTAATTGAAGACAAAAGGACAGCATGGGGATCTAGCAATTTGAGAGCAGTGATTAATTGATCATTTTTGCATGAGTTGAACAGAACACATTTGTAAAGCATTTAGCTATATGGCATTTACCACTAATCAGAATGAGTTTAAAGAAGTCTTTTTCAAAACTGTTGGTTATGTTTTAATGGCTAATAACTATATGAGAGTGGCAGTTGTGCCTCATCATTGGTTTGTTATCAAGGTCATAATGTTTTTTCAGGCCGTGTCTCCCACTTATCCCAAAGGGGATTTATACCCAGTAAGTTCTGGAATGGGGTTCTGATCTCTCTGTGCTGTGATGAAGTGAAAAGTTAGAAAGATCCCATGGACAACATAGAAAATAGATATTTTGTGAAGGATCAAAACTACTACACACTTCAGTTAATCTATCAGAAAATATTTTATTTTTGGGGCGCCTGGGTGGCTCAGTTGGTTGGGCGACTGCCTTCGGCTCAGGTCACGATCCTGGAGTCCCGGGATCAAGTTCCGCATCGGGGGCTCCCTGCTCGGCAGGGAGTCTGCTTCTCCCTCTGACCCTCCCCACTCTCGTGTGCTCTCTCTCTCTCAAATAAATAAATAAAATCTTTAAAAAAAAAAAAGAAAATATTTTATTTTTGGTGGAAATTATTTGGAGAAATCAGCCAAACAAGTGTACTAGAAAAAGAAGGATCCAAGGGATTTATACCAGGTTTAATTTCTTTTTATGAACAATTTTTTAGAATTAGGAGACATTTAAGATGTTAAATATTTTGTTGTTTTCCTTAAAGGAACATAATTGAACATGGTGTCAGAATTAACTTAAAACCATGACAATCAGTTTTTGTTTTATTTGCCATTTTCCTAACACTAACCTTTGATTATTTCAGATTTACAGCCTTATAAATATGCAGGCTACCCCATGCTGATTAGGACTATAACAATGGAAACTTCAGATGACCTCCTTTTCTCAAAAGAATCACCATTGTTGCCTGCTGCTACAGAGCTGGCTTTCCATACTGTCAACTGCTCGGCCCTCAATGCTGAAGAGCTCAGAAGGGAGAATGGAATTGAGGTAATACGGAATGACCTCTGTGCTTCTCTTCAAGCTGGTTCAGGCACACTGTAGGACTTCTGGCAGTAGGGAATTCACCAAGTACAAGTACAGTTGATAGAATTTCTTAACTTTAATTTATTCCAGCAAATAGCATATTATAGTCTCCATATTCTAGTGTCAAAATTAAAGGTGGAATGGAGCTTTATTTCATAATGTGAATTGGAGAGTATTGGATTCAAAATTGGTAAACTTGCTGCTTACAAAATAGCTTATTGGGAATGTTTAAAAAGAAGCTTCTAGGGAATCCTTTATTTGTTTAACAAATGTTAATTGAGCAAAACACATTTATTTACCAAGTATCTATTATTAAAAGGTTTTTAATATGTTATTCCTACCAGACAAGGCTCTTCAGACTTCAAGTCCAAATGGAGAATTAATGGCTGACTCCTTTTTCTGCAGGTGTTACAGGAGGCCTTTAGTCGCTGTGTGTCAGTCTTGAATCGTTCTAGTAAACCAGGTGATATGTCAGTACAGGTGAGGCCAACATGTATGGTTCTAAGAAGGTTACACTCGACTAGTAGTAGTTCAGACTTGAACATCTATGAGGATCACTTGCGGGGCTCATGAAAATGTGGGTGGCTGACCTCCACGCCCCCTGCTGCCCACAGTTTCGGATTCAGTGGTTCTGGGGTGGAGGACTGAGAATATGCTTTTCTGACAAATTTCCAAGTGATACTGATGCTATTGGTCTCTGTATCATGCTTTAAGAAGTTCTGCACTAAATCACTTGTGATCTAGTGGCTTAATTTTTTTTTCCTTGGAGTATAGTATAGTGAACCTTTCTATTCCCACCACCCAGTTTCAAACATTTGTCATTTTGCCATTCTTGTTTCATTTCACTCTGCCCCCTTCCCTGATTTCCTTCTTTACCTCTGTCCCCCCATCCCTAGTATTTTTTTTCCAGTTGTATTGAGACGTATTTGGCATGCATCATTGTATAAATTTAGGGCATATAGCTTGGTGCTTTGATTTACCTGTATTGTGAAATGATTACCACAGGTTCAGCTAACATTCATCGGCTTATATAGATACAGTAATCCATCCCTATGGTGTTTTTTTTTTTTTTTTCCAGATTTTATTTATTTATTTGACAGAGCATAAGCAGGGTGAGTGGCAGGCAGAGGCAGAGGGAGAGGGAGAAGCAGGCTTCCCACTGAGTAGGGAGCCCGATGTGGTGCTCGATCCCAAGACCCTGGGATCATGACCTGAGTCGAAGGCAGACAGACACTTAACCAACTGAGCCACCCAGGAGATCGGAAGAACCACCGTAGTGTTTTAATCAACTTATTTTCTTTCTATTAAGGTTATAATTGAATTCTTTGATAGACAAATCCATCAGAAAAAAAAAATCTATCAGAAATTCATTGGGATTATTGTAGAATGCATCTTTTTATGTGATACTTTTTTTTTATGCCAGCAGATTTTAGAATTTAAAACAATCGAGTTCAGGCTTTTTAGTTTCATCCTCTATTTTGAAGTGCAGTACGTACACAGACTTGTAATTCTGCAATGTTAATAGGTTGGACAAAAATACCTTAATTCAGAGTTGGCAAACAATTTTTATAAAGGGCCAGAGAGTAAATATTTGAGACTTTCAGGTTATATGCAGTCTCTGTTGCATATTTTTGGGGTTTTCTTTACAACCCTTTAAAGATGTAAAAACCATTCGTAGCTCCCTGGTCATACAAAAACAGGCCACGGTCAGTTTGGCCCATGCACTGCATGGCCATTTAGTTGCCAACCCTGCATCTATGGGAAGTCTTAACCAGAAATACTAACAATTCAGTAGAAATGTTCTTTTTAATTTTGGAGCATCATATATACCATTAAGCATTATTCATGAATCTCTGCTGATTTGATTTCTGCTTAAATAAGGAATGCACATGGAACTCTTTTTTTGCTCTCTTGGGTTGTATGCAGGTATGTGGACACATAAGCAAATGCTATAGTGTGGCCGCTCAGTTTGAAGAATGCCGAGAGAAGATCACAGAAATGCCTGGCATCATCAAGGATCTCTGTCGGGTGCTATATTTTGGCAAGGTATAGTTCATTTTTAATGCTTTCTGGATGCAGTAAACAATGAGTGTTCTTGTCAAGTAAGTAGCCAGTCCCCAATTTATAAATAAACTGTTTTCCCAAAATCATTTTTATGTGCATTATTTGGATCTCTAAAATCATTTTTCACAGAACCCTTGATGTAAATGGAGGCTTTTGTTCTTATGGTGGCCCATAAGGAATAAACCTAAAGTGATACATGTAAAGCGAAGCGGGTCTCATCTGAACATTTGAAGAGAGGGAGAGAAGAAATAAATGAGAGACTAGAGTAAATAAATTTAATGCAAGTAAAGGACCACGTGAAACCTAAAACAAGTCAAGCTCTGCCTGGTGGGAGGGGCTTTGAGGAGCTGAGAACTTAGCACTTCCTCCCAATCCAGTACTGCTGAGGACAGATAGCTGGGGGTTGATGGAAGAAGTGACTGGGAAGGAGAGAGATGCCTTAGATAACTGGACAAAGTGAGGTGCGTTGGAATAGAACAGGATTGGGGTGCTGATCCTGGACTGCGGTATCTAGAAATAAGGAATCTGATGAAAATCTCTCAACCATATTTACATGATGTCCTTAGAAGTATTTAATGAGAATACAAACTCTGATATAAGGAAGCAAATCCACACACCTGCACTAAAGATATTTCTGATACACTTAAGATCCTAGCATGTGAGTTGCTATTAATGCCTTATCACTATTTTTAAAAATTAAAGATACGAAAAATGAAGAAAACTGTATTCCCAAGTCTTTTAGCACTAGCTTCAAAGATAATTCTGTGTGTCTTGTCACAGGGTCACTTTTAATTTTAGGCTTTAAAGAATATTGGATTCAGATTTAAATTGGAATTGAAAATAAAAGAGGAAGTAAACATCTTGCATAGTAAGATAGGTAGCTTGACATAAATTCACAACCAGTTTCTCTTGGGAGTTTTTTTAAACCCTGTAATTAATTTCATTATTTTCAATTCTCTCAGAGTATCCCACGGGTTGCTGCTCTTGGAGTAGAATGTGTCAGTTCTTTTGCTGTGGATTTCTGGCTACAGACACACCTATTTCAGGCTGGGATTTTGTGGCATCTGCTTGGTTATCTGTTTAATTATGACTACACACTAGAAGAGAGTGGCATTCAGAAAAGCGAGGAAACAAATCAGCAGGTAACTTTCACACTGCTTTAATCTTGAATTTGAACCCAAACCAGTGCCGAATTAATGCACAGCAAAGTTCCAGCTATCCAGAGCCCCAGACATGAACTGTTTTTCTAGCTAAGTTTTTTGCTCTTTAAGCTCCAGAACTTTTTTTTTCTTTATTTTTTTTTTTAAAGATTTTATTTATTTATTCATGAGAGATAGAGAGAGGCAGAGGCAGAGGGAGAAGCAGGCTCCCCGTGGAGCAGGGAACCCGATGCGGGACTCGATCCCAGGACCCTGGGATCATGACCTGAGCTGAAGGCAGACGCTTAACCGACTGAGCCACCCAGGCGTCCCTCCAGAACTTTTTTTTTTTAAAGATTTTATTTATTTGACAGAGAGCACACGCGCACAAGCAGGCAGAGTAGCAGGCAGAGGGAGAGGGACAAGCAGGCTCCCTGCTGAGCAAGGAGCCTGATGCGGGACTCGATCCCAGGACCCTGGGATCATGACTGAGCCAAAGGCAGTCGCTTCACCGACTGAGCCACCCAGGCACCTCAAAGCCCCAGAACTTTTTATCTTAGCCATTTGTGCTAGAAGGATTGAAGGGGAGGGAATTTGCAGTAACATATACTGGATATAACAATCTTTTCTTGATTACTTAGAGTCACCTTTATGATTGCAAAATTATGGTTGTGTAACACAGAGAAATATAACAGTAATATTGGGCTGTTGGGGCTAGCCGCCCCTAGATACTTGAGTACTTAACTGATTTTCTTGAGTATTTTTTCTGTCTCTCCTTTTTTAGTCACTGCCATTCATTATTCCTATTGTTAGTGTGTTCCTCTAGCAGGCAAGTCTGCCTGCCTATCCCCTACTGTCCACCCTACCACCAAGTGTGCTTCTTCCAGTTATCTTCAAGGTACTCTATTGGATATAAATGAGTATATAGATTCTGATCTTTTGTGTAAATGAAAGAGTAAGCTCTAATGTATAAGCTCTAACATCAGTGTTGGGGACTTGCTTTCTGCTCCTTAAGTATGTTCCATATAGTTTTGTTTTGTTTTCCATATGGTTTTGATTCCATGAAGGTACCATGTTACCTATGTAATGTGACAGATCTACTTCAGTGTTTTAATTTTTTTGTAACAGGAAGTAGCCAACAGCCTTGCTAAACTGAGTGTCCGTGCTCTAAGTCGCCTTGGAGGATATCTGCCTGAAGAACAGGCAACCCCAGAAAATCCAACCATAAGAAAAAGTTTGGCCGGCATGCTGACACCCTATGTTGCCAGAAAACTTGCTGTGGTTAGTGCTACAGAGGTATGTGCTTCAGAGGTAGCCTGGGTTTTGATGAATGTTGCAAGATCATTTAAATAGTAGAGCAACATAACAGTGTTGATTGCTCTAGGAAACCTAAAACTTAAAAATGTTCGTTTGTTCTCTCATCCAAGAAATTCAGTTTATTATGGATTGATGCTGTTGATATCAGCTCTACAAAGCCCACTCTTTCTGCAGGGGGAAAATAACTTTATGTTTCTCGGCTCTGGAGCCCACCATAATTCTTACCAACCTTGAGTCACAAGGGGACAGGAAAAGAGAATGAACTTGGAAATGGTGTTTCACAATGGGCAGAGAACTGGGAGTTAGGAGACCCAGAGTCTGTTTTTGGCTCTTTTTTTTTTTTTAAGATTTTTATTTATTTATTAGCAAGAGAGCATTAGTGGGAGGGGCAGAGGAAGAGGGAGAAGCAGACTCCCCACTGAGCATGGAACGTGACACGGAGCTCGATCCCAGGACCCTGGGATCATGACCTGAGCCAAAGGCAGACACTTAACTGAGCCACCAAGGCGCCCCTATTTTTGGCTTTTTCTTATAAGCAATCTCTAAGTTAGACTCAGAGTTGAAATCCTAAAAGCTAACACACACACACATGCATGCATGCATTCATGACAGAAATCAAGTATGACTTTGACAGCTCTCCCAACCTCTTTGGCCTCTTCTTTTTTTTTTTTTTTTTTT